GGGACAAGGGGCCTTGTTGATACAGATGCCCCAGGCAAAGCCGCCCACACCTTCCCGGGGACAATCCCCCAAAACCGTGGGCCCAAGAATTGGCCACGAACTCGCTGTGCTCCTGTGGTTAGGGGTTGCAGTTGCGAAAGCACCCCAAACTATAAAATCACTCGAGGGCACCCTCCCCCATGATGCGCAAGAACATCCAATGAAAACGAAGAACATCAGGGCACCCTCCCCGAACCGCCCTCGATCTTATGCCTCGGCCCGGCCGTCTGCCCAACGTGAACTTCGGGCCCGATCTGTCGGCTACACGCAAGAGTGGCCCTAGGCAAGAGTGACCCATACCCTCCTCCTCCTCCTCCTCCTCCTCCTCCTCCTCCTCCTCCTCCTCCTCCTCCTCCTCCTCCTCCTCCTCCTCCCCCTCCCCCCTCCTCCCTCCCCTCCCCCTCCCCTCTCCCCCTCCCTCCCCTCCTCCTGCTCCCTTTCCTCCTCCTCCTCCTTCTCCTCCTCCTCCTCCTCCTCCTCCTCCTCCTCCTCCTCCTCCTCCTCCTCCTCCTTACTGCGCGGCCAGGGGCCCTTCGGGGACACCAGCAGGCGCGCAGGCCGCTGCCGTCGCATCGCACTCACCGATCGGGGGGCCCCGCCTGACTGGCACCAGAGGTCACTCCGGCGCAACGTCGCTCGTACGTGCACGGTGGAGGCCCGACCGAGAGAAACCTTCCACAGGAAACCCAGCCTTGAGACTCCAGGGCGTCCACTGATTTTTGGGTGTGGGGACGGCACTCTTACGTGCACGGTGGCGACCACGAGAAACCCTACACACAAAAAACCCAATGCTGAGGCCCCAGGGCGTCCCTTGATTCTTGGATGTGGGGACGTCGCGCCTTCCGTCGCAGCACCACCGAAGCCCGAGAAGGCCGGGGCTCACCCTGGAGGCAAGCAGGGTGCTTCTTGGCATGGGTCTCCACTGCTCTTGTATCGGGCGTTGGTAGAACTGGGTTTAGTGGAACCTTCTTTAGCGATCTGTACCGGGAGCGCCCCCCCGTCCCATTTCCACTATCTGGAACTGCCGTCACCCGAAGAAACATCAGCCATGGCAGACCTGGTTTTAAGCGACTCTGGCCAATTCGAAGGCTCCGGGGCCCTGCCACTCACCGGGTCCCCTTACCCGGGGTCCTGGCCATACCCGATTGCAGTCGCATCAGGGCGGCCTCCCTGACCTTCCAGGGAGCTATTTTTCTACCACTGGAGACCTAAAAACCTAAAAAGCTGAGCGAAACTGCCTAAAACCAAGACGTAGAATAGCTCTAGGATCGGTTTTTTTAGGTCGGGTGCTATTTTTTATCCCTCCTGGAAGGTCAGGGTACCCGGGCGTGTGTGTGTGTGTGTGTGTGCGTGTGTGTGTGTGTGTGTGTGTGTGTGTGTGTGTGTGTGTGTGTGTGTGTGTGTGTGTGTGTGTGTGTGTGTGTGTGTGTGTGTGTGTGTGTGTGTGTGTGTGTGTGTGTGTGTCGCATCAGGGCGGCCTGGAGATCCCTTGGCGCTCCGCCGCGGCGACGGGCAGGGCAGCGGCGCGCGGCGGCCACGGCCCTCCGCCGGCCTGCGCGGGCCGCGCGCGCCCGCTTTTTCCCGCGGGGGCGGCCGCCAGCCAGGGCGCGGGCGCGCGGTGCGCTGGCGCACGGCCCGAGGGCCCTATTGGCGTCACCGCCTCCTTCCCCCTGCCGCCTCCCCCCCCGCCTCCACGTCCCCCGTCCCCTCCCATCTCACTCCCCCCCCACCCCCCCCCCGCCCCGCCTCCTCCCTCGCCCCGCCTCCTCCCCGTCCTCCCCCCCACACCTTCCCTCCTCCTATGCCTCCTCCTCTTCCTCCTCGTGCTCCAAGCCTCTTTGACCCTCCCTCCGTGACTCCTCCAATGAGGTTGACATCAGGAGAATGGCTTCTCAATGTGAATGCCACGTCTCTTATAGCTGCAAGGTAACCAAAGGCGACCTTGGTCATGGTATGATTCTAAGGGGATGCGCAGCATAGTGTCGTTGTCGCTGCTGTTGTATGATGCATACGCGGCCGCCAGGGATTCGCACTCGGTAACGATGATCCGCCAATTCTAGGTGGTTTAGAGTTACGAGTAGTTTATACCCCCCTTGTCCCTTTCAGGGAAAAGTTTACCCCTTCCCCCTGCTCCCTCCGATGAGGGTTTCGCCACCTAAAGCGTCCAAGATGTCTCAAGTATGGCCCCAAATAGCCGAACGTACAGGGAAGCTGGAAACATAAGAGGCTGGAAACATAAGCGACAAAGAGCTTAGATAAAGTATGTAAAATGGCATCGGCCTGCGCCCGCGCAAAATAAAAACAGAAGCGGGCCCTAGCCTCGAAGATCGTAAGACAGCGCGCCCGCCACTCTCTTGCGAGGCCCCCGGCCGGCCCGAACCCAACGCCGCGCCGACGGAGGCGGCAAGCCGCCTGCGGTCTGGCCCAAACATGGCGACGTAAAACGCCGGCCCGCAGCGAATACAGATATTACTGATTTTGGCGGCGGCCCTGGGGGGGGGGCGGGAGCGGCCCAAACAACTGGCACCAATGGATCGGCCGACAAAGCAAGACACCGAGGGTTTGACGCGGCGAAGGGGAGCCCTGCCGAAGCCGCAGACTACAAACTCACAAGGGTGGGGCCGCAGCGAATCAACAGAGGGCGCTGGCGGTGGCCTGGGAAGGGGGCGGGGGCGAGCCAGACAACAGGAAAATCACTGGAGCGGCCGCCCCAAAATAAACACACACACACAGATTTTGGGGGGGCGACGGAGCGCCCCGCCACAGCCGCAAACTACAACACACCAAGGCGGGCCCGCAGCGAAGAAACCAAGGGCGCTGGCGGGGGCGAGCCTAACTACCGGAATCCATGTTTCGGCTGCCCAGGACAAGCGCAGAGATTGTGGCGCGGCCGCGAGCGCCGCGCCAAAGCCCCAAATGACAAACGCGAGGGCAAACTCGTCTCAACGAATGGTGAACAGCTGGTTCTGTATACACATATATATACGCATATTTACTGTATCCATTATACATTCGATATATATATATATATGTATATATATGTATATAGATATATATATAGAGAGAGAGAGAGAGAGAGATCAAAACGTGCGGACCATAACGAAATAAAACAAGCGGGCGGAAAAAACAAAGATCTCGCCGCGCCATTTGGTGGGCGCGCACGCCCCCCCAAAAAAAACATAAACGGCTGGAAACACATAAGGGTTACACTAATTACCCTTCTTCAAAATTTCCATGCCGCCCCAAACAACAGAACCGGAGGCCCGAAAAAACTAACACAACCGAGCCCGGACGCCTCTTATGTTTCCAGCCTCACTATAGTCTCTAAGATGGCACGCGACAACCCAAGATAGTTCAATGTTGCCGCCGAGGTTCTTACCAGATGGCCCCAAAGACGGCCCCCAGAGATGAACGAAGCGACAGGACATGAAATCAAATCCAAGATTGCCCATGGGGCAGAGGAGGACGGCTCCGTTATATCCCTGACTGCCCCAGGATGGCGTTCAAGATAGCGCAACAAGGTCCAAATTGACTCAATCTGATCCCGGGCTTGCGTCCGAGAGGACCCAAGACGGCCTCAGGACGGCTCCAAAATACCTCGGTACGTCCCCAGGACGCCCCAAGAGGCACAAGTCCTCCAAACATACAGACAGCTTTCAGTGCTTTTCACTGCTGACTTTCTGGCTTCCAATTGACAGTGCCTAGAGCTTCAATGGTTCTTGTTTGCTCACACGTTCGCTTTCAACTGGCAATTGACGCCTCCAGACGGCCCAACGCCTCGGGCTGCTTGGGCCACTCTCGGGGCTCTCTTGGGCGATCAAGAGAGCCCCAAGAGCAACCCGGCAGGGCTCCAAAGCGGCCGCAGCGACCCCAGCCCCAAGAGAGCCCCCAAAACACAGATTGTCGGGCCCCGTCAAACCGTCGTCCTTCCACGCGCCTCGACCCCAGTCCCAAGAGAGCCCCAAAAACAAAATTGTCGGGCCCCGCCAAACCGTCGTCCTTCCACGCGCCTTGACCCCAGTCCCAAGACAGCCCCAAAAACAAACTTTCGGGAGCGGCCAAGAGGGGGGTGTCCAAGAGGGGGGGTGCAAATCATGACTGGCGGCATGTGCGCGGCCCAGCGGGGGGGCCAGGGACGTAATGAATTAAGAGGAGGCGCCATGAAATCTGGAGAAATATCATGGCCCACGCCATGATATCCACCCCCCCTAGTCATCACCCCCCTCTTTGCCGCCCCCGAAAATTGTCGGGCCCCGTCGGACCGTCGTCCTTCCACGCGCCTGGATGCATATGCTTGTGCGCCCCAGATCTAAAACCCCACGCATCGCACGCTCGATGCTCTCGAGACACGGGCTCCCGACCTCTCGGCCACGTCCCCGGCCCGATTCTTCCTCCCGGGCAGTGCTCGTTTTACTGGACAAGCGCGTTCCACGACTCGAAAAGTACCTACAGTCATCGGCCTGACCTAAGGAACGATAAATAAGGAACGAAGCCCCTTTTTTATCCCAAGGAATAACGCATAAGGAACGATAAATAATACATAACGCATAAGGAACTGTAAATAACGCATGTAAACCTAACGAACGACCGAGCCCCTTTTGAAAAGTAAGTGTTCCTTATTCAAGCCGCTCACTGTACTCGCATATGGATCTACGATCCATTACATTGTTTCTGTCTTGCGTTTGCGAGTAGGCACTTTGCGAGTACGGGAACGCGCTCGGTGATCTGCGGCCCCGGGGCCCAGAACGGGCCTCCAGAGGCCAAACGATGAGAAACCGCAAAACTTAGGCCGTCGGAGGTCCGCGCGGAATTCTTCGATCCCGCGCGGGGCCCCCCATCCTGGCGCGCGGAGCGCGCCAGGGGTGACGCCAGAGGCGCCGCCAGGATGGCTCCGGAACAGATCCATACAGATCCGCGTGGAGCTCCGAAAATCTATGTTTATGCTCATGTAATTGTTCATT